AAAAAAGGCTAAGTTGAGTTAGTGAAACACAGCAAATGGAAGGCAGAAGTACTTCATCTTGTCCAAGACATTTCCATCTGCTATTCGCACTTAGGGTTTTCCTTTACTATAACCACCTACTTAATCCCCAAATCATAAAGGTATCATAGCAGTGTATCTCACGCTGAGGTCTGTGGACACTCAGGATAGGCACTTTTAAGAAACTGCGCTCCCCTCTGGCTAACGTCTTAATTACTGGACTGTCCGCATCATCAAGATAATCGGTGCCATCCTCGTTTGTGTCATGGATCACTAGTGCCAGCAACAACTGCTACCAGAACAAAGGCAATATGACTGGGTAATACACAAATAAAGCTTCTGATGGAAGGAAGGCCATCGTCAGGGCAAGAAGAGTCTCAACTGCAGGTTGCAACTGGGAAAAGTAGTAAAAAAACGAATCATCAACAACACACCAGATATTATCAGCAATCTCTGAGAAGAAAATTAGCTTCAGCACAATAACATCATAGATTAGATTAACTAAATGTTGCTGACAAGTTTTGTATTGCTTTCACAATATTGTTTTTATTTACTTTGTAAACTGATTTGCTTTTAAGATTGCTCAAGTGTTATAAGCCTAGAATTATAGTTCCATGCTTGTGTATATTTAATTGTCATAATAAATCATTAAATCTATACCAGAGTCCATTATTTTCTTTTTCCTTTGATCAATACCAAACATATGAATTTAGAAACAGTCTCCAAAAGCCAAACAAACAGAAGGCCAGTTCCAGCTTAAGGGAACTAGAAGACTGAAATAAGGAAGAAAAGGACAGCCAAGAGGCCGAGGGGTAGGGTGGAGAAAGAATGCTGATAATGCTCTCCCCACCCAACCAATTCAACTCAAGGAGTGTCACTCTCGCTATTTATTTTTTCTTCTCTTTCTATTGACAAATTAAAGTTGTATACATTTATGGTATACAATGCATATAATGTTTTGATATAAACAATATGATGATATGTCTATTTGATACATTGTGGAATGGCTAACTCAAGCTAATTTAATCATTATACTTATCACTTTTGTGTGTGTGGTTAGAACACTTAGGATCTTGTGGCACTGGGTGTGGTAGCTCAGGCCTGTTATCTCAGCAGTTTGGGAGGTGGAGGCAGGCAGATCACTTGAACCCAGGGGTTTAATGAGACCAGCCTGGACAACATGGTAATAACCCTGACTCTACAAAAAAAATATCAAAAAAATTAGCCTGGGCTGGTGGTGCATTCCTACAGTCCAGCTACTGGGGAGGCTAAGGTGGGAGAATCACCTGAGCCTGGGAGGTAGAGGCTGCAGTAAGCTGTGTTTGCACCACTGCACTCCAGCCAGGGTGACAGAGTGACACTGTCTCAAAAAAATAAACAAATAAAAATCTTCTTGCTTATCAAGTTTCCATTCTATCTATTCTCTTTTTGTCTCTTTTTTGGGATCTGTGTATTCTTACAAGCTCATTTGACTTAAAAATGACTCTTTGAATTCAAAAGTAAATAAAGACCAAAACAAGTAAAGGGTAAATTATATGAGAAATCAATTTTGAAATGTTTCTTTGAATATAATTTATAAAAGAAAAAAATTAATAAGCAAAAGTAATTTTTCATAGCTCAAATTTTAAGACTGACATCTGTTAAAAAGGACACAGTGTAAGAATTATATTTGATAAAAAGGGTAGAAATGTCCAGTCATACAGCATTAAGTAAAACTCTATTCACCAGTAAGAACGTTTTCAAGTATCACTCACAAATGTCCATATGGCATATAACAAAATAAACGAATAATCCTAATGGTAAGATTTTTATAGATTTTCCTCATTTCACAGGAAAGTTAGAACTAAGACGGGTTAACTCACTTGCCAACTATCACACGGTACTTGATAACACCAAAATTCAAATGTAAGTCTAGGTCAATACACTTAATTAACGATCATCCTTTTTCTCCGAGTGGACATGAATCTGAAACGTAATAATGCATATTTAAACACACGTTAAGTATCTTGTATGTATTACTTAACGTTGAAATCATCTAACTGAATTGAAATCTTCTAATTCAATTTAAAGGAGCCTTATTGGAACAGTCAGGCATGTATGAACTAAGACAGTGCAAGCCACAACTCTCACGAGAAAAGTTAACAGGGATAAAAATAATATAATATGCTTAGAAATACATTGATGACTGTCTGCTAAATGAGGTTACATTAAGAATGCATTAACTATTACTAAAAATAACAGAGCAGTGCTAAAAAAAAAAAAATGAAATGGATAATGGACACATCTATTGAAATAGTCTGTATGAAGTTAGGGAAGGTGAAGTCCTCCCCAGGCCGCAAGGAAAAACAGAAGGGACAGACTGAGGGAAGAAGAGCTCCCTTAGTGGAAGGGGCAGACTCATGGTACAGGGAGGCTCTCACAGTGGCACGGGCCCCATGGTACAGGCAATGCCAGCTGTGCCAGGGCACATGTCTGGGCTAGTGGGCAGGGCAGGGGCAGCCAGTGATAGAACCAGTAAGGCCTTTTGACACACTCCTCCTATCCAAGAAGCTGCAGCCTGGCCTCAGAGCATCCACCCCAAAGGACAAAAGGTAGCTTGGTAGGAAAAAAAAAAAAAAAAACAGTGCTATAGTGTGACTTCAAGGGTTTCTTTGCTCCAAAATCTCTCCCATTTGGTAAATGCTGTTGTGAACTCATTACCAAGGAAACATATCTTTCTTTCCACAATGAAAGAAGTAATAATCAAACGTTAGTTAAAGTAATACACTCTCACCACAAACTTAAGAATCCTAGATCCGAGTCACGGCACCAAAAAATAAAAAAAAAAAAGAATCCTAGAAAGACAGTAGGTTGTATATTTTAAGTGCATAAGCCACATTAATGATCCCCGGCCTATCTCTTCAAAGAGACTACACTCCCAAGATTTCAATTATGAATGGAAGAACAAACCTATAATGATGGAAATCACCTGACTTTTACAAGGCTCGATTCAACCATCATAATAAAGTATGTAATGTCACTTGTAAAATAATATACATGTCAGAGCATTTATCACAGGTGTGTAAGTATTTTCAACTTCTGAAACACTAAAGTTTATCTCAAGCAGAGTGGGGAGAAAAATGTAGACCATCTGGCACCTCCAGCAAGAATCAGCTTGGCATTTGACACTCTTGAGACACAGCTCTTTTTGAAGAGGCATCATGCTTTCTTTTCTTAGATGCAGAGGCTAGTCCCACGAGACTTTAGTGTTTACACAGGGTGGCAAGAATGGCAGATAAACTATATTTTTCACAAATCACAGTAAATGCCATTATCAGTAGTAGCCTCAAATTCAGGAATTAAGTGAATATGGGCATAAAATATATTACCTTATTTTGGATAAGTAACACAAATGGTTAAGTGAATGTTTTAGCATTTGGGATGGTTAAAAGAAAAATTATTTTGGAGCACACTAATTTCAAGGCATCTTGCTAAGCGCCATCCTTACTGCTAACACATGTTTCAAAATACAGATCCCATGCTAGCATTGTCTGTTTTAGGCATACACATCCCTATTACGTTGTTCTACAATGATGATGCACCCTATATGTCCTGGGGGTTACTAGATCACCCAAAGGCCTCTCTACCTTTTGAAAGTATCTCATTCACCCAGTTTTAAGTGATCAGAGATTCCAGGGCTTGATTTCAGTAGCTAAAACATGCAGAAGCCTCTATGAAGACGCAAATACTTTTCACAGGCTCCTTTGAAGATAGAAAAAAAAAGCAATAAATAAAAATTTTAAAAGATGCAAATACCTCCTGGGAAAGGTAGCAAGCCACATCATGCAGTTATGCTCAACTCTCTGTAAAAGAAACCCTTGTGTTTCAGATACTCTTAGGTCTTAGTCATTGAAAGTCAAGATCCAGAGGATAAAAAGAGAAAAGAAGGAAAATTCGGTAAGGAGGTGTATGGGAAAGGAGGTGCAAGAAACCCTGTATAACAGTCATTATACTGTACAGATCACCAAAAGTTCTGATTGTCTTTTTTTTTTTTTTTTTTTTTGAGACAGAGTTTCGCTCTTGTTACCCAGGCTGGAGTGCAATGGCGCGATCTCGGCTCACCGCAGCCTCCGCCTCCTGGGTTCAGGCAATTCTCCTGCCTCAGCCTCCTGAGTAGCTGAGTAGCTGGGATTACAGGCACACACCACCATGCCCAGCTAATTTTTTGTATTTTTAGTAGAGACGGGGTTTCACCATGTTGACCAGGATGGTCGCGATCTCTGGACCTCGTGATCCACCTGCCTCGGCCTCCCAAAGTGCTGGGATTACAGGCTTGAGCCACCGCGCCCGGCCCTGATTGTCTTTTAGACCCTGAACTTTCATCCCAATGACATGCCCAACACCACACACAATGCAAACCAAAACTAACACGCACAGAAAATTTGCAGAGTTAAAATGCACTGGTGCCATGCTGTCTTCGATCATCTTACAAAATGGCAAAACTGCAAATGAATGCTTTTTAAAAAGCCAACTTAATGTGTCCAATGAAGAGCCACTGATGTACGGAAGAAACGAATAATTTTCTTTGAATATCACTAAACTAGCTTAATTTTATCCTTAAGACAAACTCTTGACACCCCCCTTAAGAGTTTTTTAGTTCACACTATTAAGAGACACAATAAATTAAAAAAAAAAAAAAAAAAAGTTAAAGTCCCCAACATCTTTGTAGGAGCATTACACAGAAAGATGACTTGAACGACTTTCCTCAGGATATATTCCAGTGCCCAGTAGAGAACTTTCCCTTCTCTGTAGAAAAGGAAGTAAATAAGTAAAGAACACCTAAGAACAAACTTTGTTGGCCACCAGCAGGGGAGCTCTTCAGCTTTTGTCGCCAAATCCATTCAAACAAAAGAAGCTCCGACTCCTCCAACCCACCCTTCGGACCCGCACCCCGCGGGGACTCTCCGGATCCGGGTGCCCGCTCCCCCGCCAGCCCGACTTACTCCTCAGCGCCCCAATGAGCAGAGAGCCGTCCTTAATGAGCTCCTTGATGAACTTGTTGGTTCGCTCCAGCTCAATCTCGTGACACTGCAAGCGCTCCCTGAAATCCGGGCTGTCCAAGTAGGAATCGCTGAACTCCAGAGTGGGCAGCCCCATGGCACAGGCGCCGCCGGCGGCCGCCGCGGACACGTCCCGGCCGGCGGTCAGGGCAGGGGCGGCCGACGGCGGCGGCGGGCGCTGCGGACGCGCGATCGCGGGGAAGGCGCCGGGACGCGAGGGGACTGACTGCGCCGAGGAAACGGGCCCCGCGCGCCGCGCCGCCGGCTGCCGGGCTCAGTCTTCCTCCCCCGAGGCGAGGCGGGCGCAGGCGCGGGCGGCGGGCCGAGGCGCGGGTCCGCTCAGGTTGCGGTCACCGGGGCGCATCGTCGTTCCGGGCGCCGGGGCAGAGCAGGGACGTTCCTCTCGCGGCGCGCACACACTTCCGGCAGTTCCACTCCCCGGCTGCCCTGACAGTCTGCGGCGGCGTTGTGAGCCAGAAGCGGCGCTCAGCCGCGAGGCCGGCCGGGCTGGGGAAAACCCTCCCCCTCGGCGGACGCAGGCTCAGAGAGCTCGCGAGTCGCACCGGGGCTCCCAGACCCTCCTCCCGCCGCCGCGCTCCCACCCCGCCCCTTCGCCCCTTCACCCTCCTGCCCCAGCCGCCGGCCCGCACTGGGCTCCGGGGCTCCCCGCGCTGCAGCCGCGCGCTGGCGCTCCGGCCTCGGCTGGGGTGTTGGGCCCCTGGTTTGGGCTAGCGCTGGCTGACCCCTCGGCGTCCTCGCCCCGCGAAAGGATCGGACTCCCAGTATACCTCCCCTAACAGTCGTCTCCTCCACGCACTCCCTAGAATTGTCTGGGAGAAAGACCGACGTTCCGTTTCCCTAAAGTTTTGACGCGTAGATGGAAGATACTGCTGACTAGCGCTCGTTTGGATTTTGCTTCACACTTCCCCACCGAATGCCTTTGAATTCCACGTTGAAAAGTTGTCCAGTCGCTCACCCCACCCCTCGGTTTCACTGATCCGGCCTGGAGGTTTCCACCCATCCTACCACCCCCCCGTCCCCGCTCCGTCTCTGGGAAGGTGGGACGATTTTTCAGGTCATCCCCACTCTACTTAAAGTGCTCCTACTTCTAGAAGAATACCCGTTTGCATCACAATAGTAGTCTCTCCTATTGGCACCTGGGTGGAATTGTCCTAGGAGCAGGGAGATTTTCAAATTGTTGAAGTGGACTGGAGTTTCAAATAAACAGTTAATTCCTACCCAGAGGCATTAGGCTTCCTCCGGTGGTGGTTCACCTAATAAATTTTTGTTCCCTTAAAACCTTGACAGCAAAAGAAACGACTGCTTTACATCTCGTCCTGACATCATCCATAGGATTTCTCAGAACTCAGATATTGTTCTTAAGGATCTGCTTTTAATTTCTACGTTTTCATTGCTTTGTCCATATGAACCATCTGTTTAAAAACTATTCCATAGATCATGGGGAAAATTCCATTAAAATGCCTTACATTTTTCCCAATTAAGTTTCAGAGACAGTGAAGATTTTTGGTTTCAATTTTCTTAAATGTACATAAACATGAAAAATAACATGTAAACCTACAACAGATAAGATCGTGTAAACAGTATGGACCAGGCTCAGTGGCTTATGCCTGTAATACCAGCATTTTGGGAGGTTGAGGCAGGGGAATCATCTGGGTCAGGAGTTGGAGACCAGCCTGACTACTAAAAATACAGAAATTAGCTGGGCATGGTGGCACGCACCTGTAGTCCCAGCTACTTGGGAGGCTGAGGCGGGAGAATCACTTGAATCCGGGAGGTGGAGGTTGCCATGAGCCGAGATTGCTCCATCGCACCCCAACCTGGGTGACAGAGGGCTCGGTCTCAAAATACCTTCCATCCGTATTTACATCTTTAGTCCTCAACATATTGGCAAAATGGTCAATCACCATGAGAGTCATTTTAGCTCCAAGTGTTGAATTTGTGTTTGTTAACTACTCCTTTTTTTTTTTTTTTTCTTTTTCCAGGGTTGGGGAAGGGAGACGCAGTAATTCTGTTTGTCAGTTAATGGAATAACATGACATAAACAGCAGTTTTTCACCTGAGGTGATTTTATATTTACTCATTACTCTGCCTGAAAGACAAAAAACCGCTCGGGCCAGTTTCCTTTCAACTTTTGCCATGTTGCTGTTCCTAACAACCAAATCCAGTGCCAACTGCCGAGATATGAAACGTGATATAACATCACATTCTCTTCCTGTTTTTCATTAAATCATAGTGCTGTGATTAATTCTTTAAAAATGCATCAACAGTGTTTCATAAGTTGCGTTTAATATGTTCAATGCCAAATTTCAGTTTTCTTAAAAGTCTTACATGCCAGGGCAGATGTATTGTAGATGCTAAGATAGGGGTTATCATTTACCCGTTCATGCATGTAATTATATGTTTTATGTCTACTGTCTACATGACTAAGGCCTGGGTGAGGAAGTGATTTCTATAAAAAGATAGAAAAAGCCTCATACATGACCTCAAGCAGTTCTCAGAAAAAGGAAATGTACAGAACAAGTACCCATATAGCATAAGGCAGAATGTGCTATGTTCCACAGTCTCACACAGATGCTGTACTCAATGCATTGGTGCCACCGTTTATCAATATGTTTGCACTCAGGCCCATCGTTGCCTTTACGTGGAATTAGGATTTTTTTCTCCTACCCTTCACTCTGGAGTCTCTAAAGTTTATCAGGTTATAATGGACTTATTTCTTGTAGGTGTTCTCAGGATTACTCATACCTTATTGCTGTGATTCATATTTTAATTATACCTGCTAGTCAGGCTTTCTCTTATGCCACGTTAACACAGCTACTTGAGAAAAATCAGAAATGCTTTTGGTTTGAGGTGGATTTACTGTCAGTTTTGAACTGTTGTTTTCATCCATTATTCTCTCCATCATCATTAACTGAACCGGATTCTTTCCAAGAGAATATAGACTTTCTGTATAAAAGATCAGCAATACCAGCAAGCTTGTTTTTATAAACAAATTTAATGGATTGAAATGTAGCTTGTCCAGAAAGTTCCACTTCATAACATATGACACTGTAAGCTGCATGGGAAGCTTCGCTGATATTAGTGGCTCACAAGCTCTTTGCCACAGAGAAATGTCTCTGTTTTCCTGATTCTGAAAGGGGATATGTGGGGCTTGATTTGCTTGTTTTTGAGAACAAATAGATAGTAGAGGATATTCAACTAATATATGGTATTTGTAAATCTGCCTAAAACTTTTTCTTGACCTAGATCACGCTGACACTTAAACCTGGCACTTTCTTTGTATGTACTCAGTAAGTGTTACTGTCGAGCTATTTTTATTTTTCAATTAATTATGCAGATATTAATTGAAAGACTCAGACTCAGATATTCTGAGGTTAAGTTCAAGCCTGTACGAGATGACTAAACAGAAACCAAGGGTTTCCCCTCCTCCCATCTCCTAGGAACCATTCTACTTTCTGTCTCTATGAATTTGACAACGTAGGTACCTCATATAAGTGAACTTATACAATATTTGCACTTTGTGTCTATCTTATTTCACATAGATGATTCAATCATCAAAAAGAGAAGCAAAAAAGAAGTAAGAATCAGATATACATTTAAAACACATACGAGGGGCCAGGCCCAGTGGCTCAGCCTGTAATTTCAGCACTTTGGGAGGCCCAGGTGGGTGAGTCATCTAAGGTCAGGAGTTCAAGACCAGCCTGGCCAACATGGTAAAACCCCATCTCTACTAAAAATAGAAAAATTATCTGGGTGTGGTGGTGTGCACCTGTAATCCCAGCAGCTACTAGGGAGGCTGAGGCATGAGAATCCCTTGAAGCCGGAAGGCAGACATTACAATGAGCCGAGATTGTGCCACTGCACTCCAGCCTGGGCAACAGAATGAGATTCTGTCTCTAAATAAACAAACAAACAAACAAACAAACACCAAACAAGGAAACAAAAAGAAAACAAGCATTTAAACCTACTTAAATTTTTGACTCAACAATTTCCAAAATACTCGTCTGCCAGCCAAAAATGGACGTTCAGATTAAGCTCTGAGATAGCAACATCTTCTTAGTCTGCCTTACTAAAAGTATGATTATTGTCACACACAATGCTCCTAACATCATATTTCTCTAAAAATCAGTTGGTGTATGAAATTGCATTTCTGATGGGCAAATGTACACATCATTAGTGACAGCAGCCTATGTGACTTAGTAACACTATCTTTTCCAGTTACAAAATGCTCTCACAAATTGTAGAGCCCCTCTCAAATGCACACAGCTTTCCCTGCTTCCCCTCCACAGTTGCCATGACGCACAGACAAATGCTAAATGTAGTATGGGTTGAAAAAGAAACTTCGCTTTGTCTGGGGGTAGGAAATGGGAGTCTCTCTCAGGAAGAGTACAGAACATAGCCACATTGTACAACTCAATGGATTCCAAGAGCTCATTATCCAATGGATGGACTAAAGAGCAATGGTTGGAAGACCAAAAAGTCAAATGATTGAGAGATGAGAAAAGAATATTTAGACGGGGTAAGTACAGATGAGATTGGGCAACAGATGGGCAGTAAGCAGATTAAATAAAGGAAGGAAATATAGTGTGATTTTTGTGGGTAAGAATGCAACGTAACTGAAATTTAAGCCTATATAACTCAGAAGTGTTCGTTTTCTTTAGAAGAAATATACCTAGGTTTAGATTTAGTCTCCTATGCTGAGTTTGAGGTAAAGTTAGAATAATTAAGAGGCACTTTTGCAGGGAGGAAAGTATAGCACAAACACTCAGGGCTGTTGGGTTAGCTTGACAGGGGACACAGAAGCAGAAGTCAAGGTCAACTAGGGAGCAAGAATAACTGCAGAGAGTGGAATTCTATGTGACAATATGACTCTTTTTTTTTTTAAAGAGGTGGTGTCTGGCTATGTTGCCCAGGCTAGTCTTGAACTCCTAAGCTCAAGCAATGCTCCTGCCTCAGCGTCCCAAAATGCTGGGATGACAGATGTGAACCACCACACAATATGACTTGTAAATTCCCTGCCAAATCTAGGTTTTATTAGGATGACAGATTTCAGATGAACAGGATGAAGGAAAAGAACAAGAATCTGAGCAAGGAACACTCCACAACTAACTGCATTTATGAGGGATGGAGAGAAAGAAAAAGAGGAGAGGGGGAGAGAGAGGTATTGACTTAATTTTGAAGACGTTTATTAGCATGGATTTTGATTTCGATTTAGTATTGCCCTCTTGTGGTAAACCATGATGTTCGCTAACTGACAGAGTTCATAAAGAGCGCAGGAAGAGGAGACAAAATGAAAGGGAGCACCCTCCACCAATACTGAGCATGATAGTTTTTGCATGTATTGCCTCATCTAAGCTTATCCACAAGCATGTGAAATAGATATTGAGTCTGATTAACCCCAGTTTAATTAATTAATTAATTAATTAAGAGATGGAGTTTTGCTCTTGTTGCCTAGGCTGGAGGGCAGTGGTACCATCGTGGCTCACTGCAACCTCTGCCTCCCAGGTTCAAGCTATTCTCCTTCGCCAGCCTCCCG